CTGATTTTACGTCAGCTAAATTGGTCGATTTTTGGATTTTTGTTCCCTATCAGAGGAGATTGCAAAAGGCATGTCTCTCAAGGTGCCCGAAATATTTCCCTAAAATCGGGCCTTTGGTGGCCGTTATCAACAGTCTACTCATAACTCCAAGAAGAAAAAAAATTAAGTACCGGTTTTGACGTTTTAAATATTGAATAGGCACTCTGATCGGTAACAGGTTTTGCCAAAGCTATAAATCTCTGTGCCATTACTGTATCTAAAAAGGCAACTTACACAATCTTTAATTTAATTGGAAAATCTTCCAACCGTGATATCATTAGGGCATAGCGGGTGCCTGTGGTGCTGTCTGTTGGGGCACAAAGATAAAATCCGCAAATGCTGAGTCTCGGAATGAAAACTAACCTAAGAAATTTGAAGCAGTACTTCATTGGGGAAATCTCAAAGGGACGAAGTTTCTGAAAGGGAGATCATAATAATCTTACGTCTCAAGGACTCTCCGTCAATTGCACAGTCGTCAATGTTCATTAATTTTAAGTACATGATAGCGTGAAATTAAGGCAAGCATGTTAAAATCATAAAACAAGACAAAGATCTTAGGCAGCTGAATATGAGTTGATGATATCATTTAATTCCCTTATAAGTCGCAAACGGTGCCTTAACTTAGGCAAAGTTATACTAAGAAAAAAATATTTGGCTTCAGCTCGGGGCGTAAATATGGTTTATGTTATATTTTTCGAAGTTCAAAAAACTCAGAAATCGGACAATCATTATTTAAACGTCAAAGATTTGCTTCTTTCAACGAGAGCGGCCGTTCTTGCTGCCTTTTGGGCTTCAGCAGAAAAAAATGAAAACTTTATTCACAGTGATTAAAACTTTTATCATTTTTTAAGTGCCATTTCATCCCTATTATCTTTTTACTTTCGGAAATTAACGTCAGACTCAAAGGCCCGGCCGGTCTTTTCGAGGTCTCTGTTTCTTATTAAGTTCCATCTATTTTTCAGTCCTTAGAGGACTGTGAGTTGACGGCCCCAAACACTGCTTAATATAATTAAATTAAAAGTAACGTGAGAGGCTGGCTCACCAACCCGGCATCTGTGCCCAAAGTGCCATTTCCAAACGCAACCCGCACTTTAGTGCATCCGTGTTTTGATGAAAAAACACTGGACTTAAAGCCCAATGACTAAGAAGCACGACTTTGATTCCGGAATTGTCCAGGACCAAAGCTGAGATGTGTCTAGCGATAGCAACTATGCCAAAAATGCCACTGCTACTACTTTATCATTTCGCCAGTATTTTTGTGAGGAATAACTCATCATACAGGGCATGACCGATCTAAAGAAATGTTTTCCAAAATTCTGGAATGCGTTTCCGATTTGGAAGGATTACATAGGTGGAGTTGTAACACTAATTAGCATGCAGCAAAATCCTATAGCATTTCTGACCAATCAGAATGTCGGCTTGTGAATGCACTTTTTCTTGACCTACAGAAACCACACTCGGTAAAAATGGCATTCATTTTTCACAACGATTTTTGGTGGTCTTATAAATTCAGAGGCATTTTATAGAAAAAATGCACAAAAATATGCTTTTTTCAATTCTTCTGGTAGAATATCACATTATTTTCATATTTTATACCCGAAGAAAGTGTATCATTAGGTTTTAACAAAGCTTCCCAATTCCCGAATAATTTTGAGCCGGATCTGTCATTGCATTAGTGTTTAGCGATTTCAGTCTGCAAGGTGTATGCTTCCCGCTTAAGGAAAATCATATATTCCTCTATGCTTTTAAGAAGATCCTATATAAAGTTCAAAAGATTTTGCGATGGATCCGGACTGTGTTGTACATTTTATGAGCAGCATTGCTAAACGGACATGTGCGATGCCGTATGATTGGGCATCGCACGGCAATAATTAGAAACTTTTTTAAACCTCACCTTTTCAATACCTGCGCCTGATTGTCCGAGGTAAGGATAATAGTGCAGACAGAAGGAACTTATGTGATTATTTGCCGTACTAACGACGCAGGTATTAGCTAAAAGCCAAGGCACGCACATTTTGCCGATCTTGTGCCGCTGCCTAGCGCAACTGCGAGGGGTTCGGCTCATCAGTGGGTCCCCCAGCTTTCCCCGTGTGTTTTCTGTTGTATGTGCTTCAGGAACTTACCTGAAAAACATGACGAAACAGGGGAAAATGAATTTCTTGAGTAATTTTTGCCCCGGAACGTACTGCTCTCCCGTCGGAAACACTGTTAAGTAATTAATCCGTAATATGTGGTTATGTAGCCTCACCTGATGGACACAATACTGTTGAGGTTGGGTTTGGGGTTAGGCGTTATGGTTAGGGGTTAGGGCAACTATTCCTCAACCACTCAAGGTACAACCGCACATTCCCATTGGCTGTTCTTTTGCATACAACTGCTTGATCTCATCGTCTGTGCGTCTCCTGGCTCCACCTGTACAAACCCCTCTTACCACCCGTCACGTATTGCAGAAGACTAGGGTGTGTTTACTTCAGGTGCGGCTTTATAACTACATCTGACCCATTACTCTTCCTGAAAAAAATTCGGAAAACGGTGAGTCCAGATAAGCCAATCTCATTTTATTAGTTGAGGAATACTTGACACCCGCTCATGTGAAAAATCATCACATTGCAAAAGCGTTCCTTGTTTTTCCCTCTGCGAGTGGTATCATTTCCACGGCTATCGATCAGATCGCTATGTGATCTCCTGCGCGGGCTCTAGATGGAGTCGCAAGGCAAAGCGAAGCGATCGCATGCGTATGCCGATCAATGGGCGTCTCTCCACTATATATATAGGTGGGAGAATCGACAAAGTCAGGGGAGACTGGAATGATCGTTTATAATTTAATATTCACTTTAGCCAACCATATCCAGATCGAGGTTTGGATAACTAAGGATTATGGTCCAGGTTCAGGGCGTTTACCAATCTAACGCCTTGCCATTGAGCCGCGGGCCCTAGTCCCTATCGGTTGTGGTCGGGCACATCCACTTTGGTGGATAGAGGCAAGTGGTTTAATGTTCAGTGTTCAAAAGGGTCCGACTTCGAATCCCAGGCTATGCAAACCTAGGGCTTTTATGATTGGCCGACGGCGGTTAGCAAGTCGCAACTTGCTATCCCAGTCCCTCTTTGTTGATACAGTTAGTTGTCATTAAATGCCATTCTGCGAGGACTGTAGACTGGGCCTCAAGGCACAGCTGCACGAGTATGCGCGTTAAGTGACCGGTGAACGCCCTTCACATGATATATATAAAATCGAAAAGAAACTCACTTCCCTTGTTATATCAACTTCCATGAGACAGAACGATATTCGCGTTCAATAAATTTTCTGATCCAAATTTTTTGCTGATGTTCTGTTTTAAACTTATGATTGGAGAAGTTTTGACGACGATAACTGTCTTCTGGAAGAAGATTTTTCTACGAGCTAAACCTTCAGTAGAAGCTTCCTTTTTCATGGTTGACTTGAGGGTTAAGCTGAATTATGGAAGAGCAGATATCCCATTTTTCTCATAATCAAGAGCAGACATAAAAATAGAGAAGTTTACTTGACTCTTTAGCGAGGATTTACTCTACGAAATGGGTCTATCAGCATTGGCGTGTGGACTAAAATGGATCGGCACTGCTTTGCGTTTTACAGAGTCTAACAATCTTCTCTCTGTACACGCTTCTATGAGTGTTGGCATACAAGCGCTAGGTTTTATTCTTCTCCTCTTTGGCGTCTGAAACGGCATAACCTTGCTTTTATGACCTGGACCTTGTAATATGGAATTCTCGATGCAAAATACGTTGACGTTTGATCAAAACCAATGTTATTTTGCCTTCCGTCTCGTGGCCTTAACCTCAATCCACGCCGAGTGGATCTGGTTAAAAAAGCTATCTGTTTTGAGTAAATATTGCAAAGCGTGTCCCAGCTGGTTGCGTAGTTTTTCACAAGCAGGAAAAAACAATGTTCACTAAAATATTATATGGCGACAAAGAAATTTCGCCATGGGCAAATTTTCAACCGATCGTTTATGCGTGGCATACGTCTAAGCAAAAATGCATTGATTGCCTAGAGCAAGCGAGTGCAGGCACTAACTGATGGGCATGTGAAACGAAAGGCGTTAGCGCAACGTTAGTTTCATTGAAAGGAGTCTAATGTCTTGCATACGAAATAGATTCGAGTGGAAGGTAATAAAGAGGCTAAATTATTTCATTCGTTCTCCTGTCAGGACGCTGATTTTAAGCGTCTGCTAGTGTTTCAAAACTAGACTAACAGTTTGGAGGCAACTTGCGAACGGCATGGTTCCACTTCCAAATATATTGTTCACTTTCTTTACGTGGACAGCTACATGGGCGAGTTAACAGCAAAATCCTCTCTTAACATCCTCATTTTGATGATATTCTGCTGCTGAAAACGCATTTTTATGTTCGATTGGCAAAGTTGAGGGATCGGGGTTGGTAATTGGAGAAATAAGCTGGGCTCACTGGAATAGGTTTATTGGAATGCTGGCGTTTCGGAGAGTCTGGGCAGCTGACTGAATTGAACAGAAGTTGGAGCGTCATGTTGCGCTAGTCGGTCTCAGTGCGGATCGACTCTTCGCTTCTCTCGCCACCATGAGCATTCACGGATGTCTGGTGGGCTTCTTAGCTGCGTACGTTGTGAGTCAGCACCTTGTTGGGGAGGTGACTGGGCCCCTATCGACGAGTGCGGCAGCCTTTTTGAGATATTCGGCACTGATAAGAAATAGTTAACTCAGGTTACTAAGGGAATGGAATTTCACTCTTGAACTCCCTATTTAAAGCAATAAACAGAAAAAGAATCACCAATTACATCAGTATATGCGGAATTTCAGAAGTTAGCGGTAAGTGTTGGCAAGGCGCAAACTGCCGCCGTTAAAACAGTCGTGATTATATGTACAGTAGTTTCTCAGCAAATGAGCATCTAGTTTACACTTAAAGAATTCTACACTTTCGGAAAGAACCACCGCATCAGGGAGTCCGTTCTATGCCCCTTTGACCCTCTGCGAGAAGGCGTTCCGTCGGACGTCCGAATGAGCCAGCCTCCTCTGCAGTTCGAAGGGATGACCACGCAGACGGTCAGTCCCGGCCGGTTCGAAGAGTTCACCAAAGCCTAGGGCGCACTCACGGCCCCTGACAATCCTGTAGGTTTGAATGAGATCGCCGCGCAGTTGCCTGTAATTAAGAGGAAACAGATTTAGTTCGGTCAGCCTGCCTTCGAAAGGCAGATGATTAAGATTCTTGACCATCTTCGTAGCCATCGCCGGTACTCTTTCCAGCCTTTGATAATCTTTCTTCAACCACGGTCGCCAGGCCTGGACTGCATACTCTAAGTGAGACCGGACAAAGGTCGCACAGGTTTTTCCGAACAGCTCTTTATCGATCTGCGCAAGTCCTCGCCTCAGCCCAAATAACGCCCTTATAGCACTTTTGGCTGCCCTTTGACACTGTGATGATGGTTTCAGCGAGGAGGTCATTAGGACGCCGAGGTCTTTCTGTTCCGCAACATGTGAAAGGGGCTGACCACCCAGGACGTATTGAAATTAATCGCCCTCCCTACTGGTCTTTTTGGTGAGGGGTCTCAGGACCACGCATTTGTCCACATTAAAATTAAGGAGCCAACGAGCTGACCAACTCTTCAGACGGTTGAGACTGTCTTGAAGCGCGTACCTGTCTGCGTCAGATCTGATGGGTCTCAACAGCTTAACATCGTCAGCAAACATGATGGCGCTGCATCCCAGGTCGTCGACGCAGTCGTTAATGTAAATCAGGAATAGCAACGGCCCTAAGACGGAGCCCTGGGGTACACCACTTAGAACGGGGGTAGGGGTTGACCTTGAGGCCTCAATGCACACGGTTTGTGATCTCCCGCTAAGAAAATCTGTTATCCATGTCAGCAGCCTTCTTCTTATCCCAATTTCAGAAAGTTTGTAGATTAGGCGTTTGTGTGGGACGCAGTCGAATGCCTTTTTGAAGTCCGTGTAGATGACATCGACCCTACCATCCTCGTCCAGTGCACAAGTCCACCGTTCCGTCGAGAGCAATAAACTGGAAAGACACGAGCGGTTCTGTTGTAGCGAGCGCTAAAGACAGAACCGTCAATCCCAGACTATGAAAATCAGGATAAGACCAGAGTTATGGAAGAATTAATAATCAAAAGTCAAACGACCTGACAATGCCACTCATGCCAAACGCGTCGCGCCGAGTTGTCTTCATTCCATTCCGTTAAACAACCAGTAAGTTCAAGAATGAGGAACAGGTAGGGAAAGGCAAGGTAGTCTGGCGCCTTGACACACTGTCTGAAGCCGTGATTTCGTCATCCGTGCTGGATGCTGGTGTGACGATTGCTCAGCAAATTGGCTCACTGTCACTGTGATGATTGCTCGCCCGCGCCCTCCCCACGTGACTGATTTCCCTGCCCAGGGAAAATCGCATCACGGAATATGGTACCGGGAGGTCTTTGTGCTGTTGATGGATTTCGGGCCTGAGAACCATGACTCGAGCAGCTCGCGGCTCACGCGGTTGTCACCCCTTGCGAGGATTTCGGCCTCTTAAAAATTGAAAATATGACTGGGTCCCGTCTAGTGTGCCGCCACCTGAGAGTTAGCGTCTCCCCGCCTCACTGCTGCTTCGTGCTCGGCAATTCGCGTATGGAGTAATCTCCCGGTATCTCCGATGTATTTGCTTTGTCCGCATCTACACCAGATCCGGTAAACGACTCGAGACGTTTCTTGCCGTGGCAGTGGGTCTTTTGGTCTCATGACTTGGTGCCTAATGGTTGCTTCCGGCCTGTGTGCAATCCCAACTTAAAGTGGAGTGAGAAGACGACTGACGGCTTCCGAGACGTTCTTCACGTACGGATGGGCCAGCCAAAATTTGGGGCCGGTTGACTTTGGTCTCTGGTGTCCTCTTCGTATACACTGGTTAACAAAGTTGCGCGGGTAAACATTGGTTCTCATTACCCGTCGAAGATGTTGTAATTCAGTAACCTTGTCTTCCATTTCACTGCAGTGCGTCTCAACGCGTCGGGCGCTATACCGGCGCACAAGTCACTCCTGCCAAACATGCCTTGACGTACACAAATCGGAGGGTATCTCAGGAACTGAGTGGTTTAAACCCTGACTTTCTAAAAAAAATTAACTTGTCAATAGAAGCGAAGAGACGAGTCCCAGGAAGTAGTCTTGGAGAAGGAGACACGATCGCCGGGACGAGAGCTTTATTAGCCTGACGTTTCGGATTCCTACTCGAATCCATCATCAGAGACAAAAAAGCAGAAATGGGTGGTTGTTGCACAAGGGGCTGCGGTATTTATAGGATGCAGTAGCCATGCTACCGCATACCTATGAACATTCACGGCTCCCCCCTTTCATCCGGGATCGTTGCACTTGGTGTGCTAATTGTTTGAGGGCCAGCGTTCGCGTCGTTAATTGCTGCAATTTCATCATGTGTGTTGGATGTTGGCGTGATGATGGCTCGACCAGCTGACGCACCGACCCTGGTGTTGGGAAAAGTGTTCACCTGCGCACTCCCCGCATGGCTAATTACTTCGCCTAGGCGAAGTCTCAGCACCGAGTATGCAGGGGGAAGATCATTGCACTTGTTGATGGACTGGGGGCCAGTAAACCATGATTCCAGTAGTTCCCGGCTCACGCGGTTGTCACCTCTTACAAGAATTTCGGCCTTGTCGATTTTGAATGTGTGGCCGGATCTCGTCGAATGAGCCGCAACTTGAGAGCTGGCGTCATTTTACCACACCGCTGCAGCGTGTTCGACCATTCTCGTTCGGAGCAGTCTTCCGGTTTCTCCGACGTAGTTGCTTTGTCCGCAACTGCACCAGATCCGATAAACGACTCCAGAATTATCTAGCCGTGGCAGTGGGTCTTTCGGTTTCTTGACCAGACGCCCGATGGTTGCCTCCGGTCTGTGTGCAACTCCAATCCCAAGTGGTGCGAGAAGGCGGTCGACAGCTTCTGAAAACGTTCTTGTCATACGGAAGCGCCCGCCAAGATTTGGTGTCCGTGCGGTTAGGCCTTTCGTCCTTTTTGCGTATGCACCGGTTGAAGAAATTGCGCCGGTAGCCATTGGCTTTGAATATCCGTCGGAGGTATTGTAGTTCGGCAATCTTGTCCTCAAGCTCACTGCCGTACGTTTCGACACGCCGATAGAGCGTTCTTACCCAACTGCGTTTGTGGCTGATTTGGCGGTTGCTGTTGAAGTTCAGTGCTTGCATCCTATCTGTCGCTTTCCTGAACACTTTGGTTTTTAGTTCACCACAATCTTTGCGGCATACGATGACATCCAGGAAGGCCAGCTGGTTGTTCTCTTCCTCCTTCATCGTAAATTGAATGTCCGGGAAGACGGCGTTGAGACGTTCTTGGAATATCAACACCTGATCCCGTTTGATGACGAAGAAGGTATCATCCACATACTGGGCCCAGAATTTCGGTCTGTGGTGTTGGAAGACCAACGACTCTAACCGTTGCAGGACCGCCTCGGCGATGAATCCTGAAATCGGCGAACCCATTGGTGTGCCCTTCACCTGTTTGTAGATTGTCCCGCCGAACGTGAAGTACGTCCTGAGACAGAGCTTCAGGAGCTGAAGGACTTGGGCGTGTCCAAGACGGTTCTCCGTTTCATCGTATTCGCTTTGTAGTAGCAGCTCAATTGTCTCGATCGCCAGCTCCTGGGGAATAGAAGCAGAAAGGGATGTAACATCAAAAGATACCATGACCTCATTTGCATGGATGCTTACCCCTTCGAGTTTCTCCAGGAATTGTGCTGCCGAAATTCTCGTAAGAGGTGACCACCGCGTGAGCCGGGAGCTACTGGAATCATGGTTTACTGGCCCCCAGTCCATCAACAAGTGCAACGAGCTTCCCATCCCATACTCCGTGCTGAAAATTCGCCTTGGCGGAGTAACAAGCCATGCGGGGAGGGCAGAGGTGAACACGTTTCCCAACACCGGGGTCGGTGCGTCAGATGGTCGAGCAATCATCACGCCAACATCTAACACACATGATGAAATTGCAGCAGTTATCGACTTGAATGTCGGCCATCAAGCAATGATCACATCAAGTGCGACGATCCCGGATGAAAGGGGGGAGCCGTGAATGTTCATAGGTATGCGGTAGCATGGCTACTGCATCCTATAAATACCGCAGCCCCTTGTGCAACAACCACCCATTTCTGCTTTTTTGTCTCTGATGATGGATTCGAGTAGGAATCCGAAACGTCAGGCTAATAAAGCTCTTGTCCCGGCGATCGTGTCTCCTTCTCCAAAAAGCAACTTCCCCTTTTGAGAGGATAAGCTGTTGCTGCAGGCCGCAGTCGCGCTAGCCGCATTGGCTAACCTGTGGAGGCAAGCGATAAGGTGCGCTCTATTATGTAACTGGGGGTGAGAGAAAAGTGATCGTTGGCCATATGTCATCCACGTCGATCGTAAGCAGTGATGTGGATTGGGTGGGGGGGGGGGAGAGAGAGCAAGGGAAATGTTCGAATTCCATATTGTAACTCCCGTCCGCACTTTGTCCTCGGCCGTGCAGATTCGGGCTTTCGCGAATGAATTTCATTGCCTCCCCGTTCTTCTCAGTTTGAGGGTGTCCATAAGACATGTTAAACCGTAAGGAGGTGGTGTCAGCGACGACTGATGCATGCTTTGCTTGTGAGTTTGATTTCCAGTGTCGCTGCAGAGCCCCAGGCATTCCTTCTGTCAATTAGTTCGGCACAATTTTCTGCCATCAGCGTAAGGAGCCCATCTTCTTCACCGTTCTGGCCGCTACTTCGTGACAGGGATCCAAGACCGTCTGCCGTCCCCCCCCCACCAGCTATGGTGACGGGCCCCGCTCACTGACCTGAAACGACAATCTAGTCAAAGATCATGAAACCGACGGACTGCCTATCAGGCTGACGATGTGTTGTCTGACGTAGTCTTTTCCAGTGAAATTGGAGAGAGGCAGTCAACTGCTGAAGACATTTGATCTTTTCCTACCAAATCGCGAGTTCATTGTAATAAGAGTCATAATTTTAATAAAGCCATGTTGAGTAAAATGCAAATCTCAATTCATAGGTGCTGTGGCAGACTTCAAATACTTCACTCTGTCCCATCTGCGAAAAACTCGGTGTCTTGGTGAGATTTGAACCCAAAACAGCAAAGGGTAGGTCTTAGTACAGCCAACGCTCTGGTAATTTGAGTTCTGAGGCCCCACCGGACGACGCGAGTTTAATCCCATTCGGGTCGAGTTTACCAGCCCAACGTACTGCAATGTCTGGATCCACCAAATCTGATACAGGAAGCTAACTGCCCAAGCAGGATTTCGTAAATAATACACCTAGAATCCACCACCATTAGGTTCGTGTAATTCATAGATTATGGCAGATTTCAAATAATTAAGCTCGGGTCGTCTAGTAAGGCCTTATAGCTCAAGTGGTTAGAGCGCTGGCTGTTTTTAAACCTTTCCCTTGCTCTAGTGCGTTCAAATCCTGCCGAGGCGCCGAGTTTTTCACAGTTGAGTCAAAATGAGCCAATTTTAATGTTAAAGGGACAAGATAACATCAAAACTGGGCTCATGAAGCCATAGTCTCACATATTTATCAGCAGACCTTTAAGACCGATTCATTCAACATTAAAGGTTCAGTGAGACACAATTATAGCATCATTAGTGCATCTTTTGGGTCGTTTTGGCTGCTCTGTCTGTAAATGAAAGTGATGTAGGTACACCCGGTTCAAGAGCACTATTCACCCGTTTTGGTTACCTTGAAAAATTGTTAGATTATTCGTTTAAAAACTTTTCGATCACCAATTTGCGTATTTTGGTGGGATTTGCTGTAGAATTTATATCGTTCATTGGTTGTGTAGAACAAAAGTCAAGAAGACCGGGTTTTTGAAAACATCGCGCTAGTTAACTCCAATATTACCTGTGCAACTAAAAGCAAACTTCAGTTCTTCCAACCAGGTGAAGTATAAACTTCTCAAATGTTTACATACCAAGAGGTTGCGTGACTGAATGCATACCTGCCCAGTTTCTACACTCGCATCTTGGTGGTGCTTGGGGTTATCAACTATCAGGAAAATTATAAAAGAGATTTTGGGTTACTCACAGGAGCATAAGAGGACTGTATTCAATATTTGCTCAGAGTCATTCCCTAGCGACCAAGTGAACTTACTTGAGAATATAAATAGCATTTTCCACAATTTAACCAGGAGGAAACGAGATCCTTTTCGGATTACTTCACCTGTCCGTTTTCCGACCCCCGGGTTCAGTTCAACTTGGTCGTCTGTCATTACGGATTTCACTGCAGAAATAAATTATACCTTTCTACTATGAAAACATGTTAAGTACTTTTTTACTTCCTCAGGAAAAATACTTGAATTTAGTCGCAAGCATGATATTCAATTTAACGGGTGATTCACAGCTGTAAGAATTAAAGCAACAATCTGCCATGTTTGGACACTTTGTTGATATGTAAAGATTTTAAATGCTTAATGTCAATTTTTTCTTTACTTGCAGAAATTTCATCCCATTTTTTCTAGGGAGAAATTCCTAATTAAGCTCAGGGGTTTGGTTCGGTTTTGTTAAGCGCGTGCTTGCTAGGCAAAAAAACAGTCTGCTGTTTACTTATCAGTATTTGAGATCCAAAGCGGATAATATCCAATTTTATTTAACGTTAAGGTTTAATGATAGTCACTCCATTATAGACTATGTAAAACAGGTGCTTGAATATAACTTCTGTTTTCAAACTGCCATAAATGTCAGTTGGAATCGTATTATCTTGATATACTACTCGTTTTGTGTGAAACAGAAACTGGCTAAACTGGAAGACTTTGAAAAGCCTGGCGTTGCGCGCCCTAAATGGGCTCTGAAAAACGCTGAGTCTGGGCCAAATTTATCTGCCATAACGCCAGTCGCCTAAACCCTTTGTCAATTGTTCCTGTGGGAATTCGCAAACTTGCTCCTAACCAGCGCCGTTCTGAGAAACGCATCAATTCTTCCTCGATGTATTTGGGATAGTTCTGGAAAACTTGGCTGGGCTTTTTTTCCTTAAACACTTACAAGTCAAAGCCGCATTCGATGCGCTCTGTTTTAGTGTCCATTTTTTGTTCTGCGGATTACTGCTAGTAAAGATTTCTTGCATGTAAAAAGATGAAATACAGTGAGTGACCTATCTCATGAAATGTTGATTGAAATGCTTCCCCGATTAGGAAGGCGCGGTTATAATACTGATTATCTTGCAGCATAATCCCATAATATTTCAGACGCTGCAGGCCGTCATCATTTGAATGCACTGCTTTTTAGTCTCCCGTATAAACCGTACTTGTTAAGAAATGACTACTTAACTAGCATACATCTTTCACACAAATTTTCAGTGGTCTTGTAAATTCAAACATGTTTTAGAAACTACTAACAAAAATATGTTAGATATCGAATAACGTCATCCTTATTTTTGATACTCGAAGAAAGAGTATATTTAGGTATGTGAAAAGTTTCTAATTAGGCGATTTTTAAGACCGTGTAATGTCTATTCATACAGCATCCTACTTATCCTTTTACAACCGCTCCTCATGAAGTATATAGCAGTGTCCGCGTCAATTACAAAATTTTATAGACTACATATAGTATTGCTTCAAGGGCATGAAAGCATATGTGATTTTCTTTGCGCGGAACGCATGTGCGTTGTAGACTGAAATTATTAAGACTAAATGCAACGACTGATTAGGCTCCAAATTATTCGATAAATCAGAAAACATTTTTAAAACTCAAATGTACTCCTTCTTCAAGTATCAAAAATAAGGATGACGTGGTTCGCTATCAAAGGACTGAAATAAAAACTATTTTGCTCGTAGTTTCTATAAAATATGTTTGAATTTGCAAGAATACCGCAAATCCGTGCGAAAGATGCATGCTACATAAGTTGTCATTTCTTACCGAGTAAGGGTTCTACAGAAGACGAATATGCAGTGCATTTAAAAGCCAATATCCAGCCGAGTCTGAAATATCATACGATTATGCTTCAAGATAATAAGTATTATAACCCCGCCTAAGTAATCCTTCCTAATCGGAAAAGCATTTCAGAATTTCAGCCAACATTTCATGAGATCGGTCACTCACTGTAAGTGACAGATAGGCGCTCACAAAGAAAAACTTAGGAATCAAAAGGTTAAGACCCAGCACAAGCCCCACGCCTACGGTAGTCGAAGGTCAGTTACTTCCTCCGCGCCCTCCTCCTCTGTCATTAATTCTCGTCGTCTCTTATTCCCTCCTCCTGTTCTCACAGCCCACTTTTATGAAAAGGCGAATTAATCGACTTCTGCTATCACCTGCACATTCTACTTATAACCCCACTCCAATATAACTCTGCTGTTCCAGCCATAATTTATCGACAGCATGCGTACGCTCGCCAAATGACCTTCGGAATTATTGAAATTTATTATTCAGTGACCGATTTCTCAGCAGGTGATCGTACGGAAACTTTTATTCCTGTGATATCTCCGTCAGTGAAATCAAACGGAATCCTCATTGCTTTAATTAATCGCATCTCGTGCAATACAGGGACAAAAAATTGCATCGGATTTTGTAAAACAGTTTTGGAACCTAGTATCAAACATTTCGCACCGTCTATGTGTCATAATTTACTGACCATTAATATTCATCGAATAGTTGCTTTTAATATATGTAAAGCTAAAATTTTTGAATGTTATGATGCTAATGTTTTCATATATAGTCTTTTTTT